ACATAGATAAATGACAAGCATTCAAAAATGCATTTAAAAAATAGTTCTTCATCTAAAAATGCATCTAAAAATGCATCTAAAAATTAGTAATTCACAACATATTCCATTAAAACTATTCTTATCTCATAATCTATTGAGACAAATTTTAGAAACTTTTAGGAAAATTCTACTAATACAAGGTGTGTACAAAGCATGGGTTACTATACACACTATGACAAATTCGTGACGACCATATCATATTTTAGAAATTCAAACTCAAATACTTAACAAAACAGAAATACATTTGTGATACAAATGAATCTAACAGAATCACGGAATGGGAGGGAACTTACTTAGTTCTTAGTTCGTCGTTCGTATCCCACAGTCGTCTGCTATCAATCTCGAGTTTTGCTCGTTCTCTCGCAGTGTCATCCAATAATTTCTTTGCATCGGCCAATTCATGCTCATACATCACCTTTATGTTGGTTACTTCCCGGGTGATAGTCTCCTTAGTAGTTTCAACTTCCCGCGACAATCTGGAATTCTCCGATTCCAAATGTCGCACTTTATCGATGTAACAGGCCAATCGGTCATTTAGATTCTGTAAATCTTGCTTTTCTTGAAGGCGAGAGTAACGGGTCGGGCTTAAAGGACTACCCGGCCTCTGACCGATCGGCGTTGACGTAAATTGTGGCGACTGTACGTTGGAACTCGCTGAGCTTATATTGCTCTTCTTTCCTGCTTTCGTTGACATTTTCTCACGTTGTTCGATTTCCTTTATTGCACAGCCACTAATCCCCACACTATCGAGTCATCAACTTGGTGCACGATAACACCGTGTCCGTGAAAGACGCTTAAAGCGATTTTGAAGAAACAACCAAAGCCCAATCTTCTTGCCTCAGTCAACGGAAGAACTGTTTAGCGGTGACGCCAACGCCAACGTTAACGAAGCAACCTCCTTACATATGTATGCATGTACATTCTTATATTGCGTTAGTGAACGTAAGAGTGCGCTCTGATAGGTCGCGTTTGAGTACACACGCGTGCCACTGACCAATTGCTCGCCCTTTTCTTCGAACCGAGTACCAATGAGAAATGGTTTATCAGTTGTAAAACTCAGCGGTGTCCAAAGTTGCCTCCCGACTCCCGGGAGATAAACGGTGTCCCCGTCCTTACCGCCATACTGCACGGAACGACTGTGGCGGTCCATAATGAATCCAGCAAATTGCCGGGCATAGTTCAAACCATAGTATTTAGATTAGTATTATTCTCTTTCTTCTGCAAATCTCTATACCATTCAGAGTTGGGCCAATTTTATTCGTAGAATTCATTCGAAATGTTATACGAATATAATTTTATTTGAATAACACGCAACTCAGATACTACTGCTAATAGTCTAAAGTTTTCGCAGATTTCTTTCAATTCTTATTATTTTCATATTACACAATACATATTTAGAACAATTAGGTACTTTGAATCTAACAGATCCATGTAATTAATATTCTGATAATCTAACTGAACAAATGGTCGATGATTTTCATTGTCGACTTTTTTCATTGTTTCACATTCTTTGAATCTGAATAGAGAGGTAAAGCATCGCATTACACGTGCTTTCATATTCAAAGTAAATATTACTGTTGCATGCAAGGAGACCTTTAATGACAAATGCCAGTATTATTCCTAGTTCAGTCACTTCCATGTTTTTTTAGCTTCTATGATGACAAAAATAATGTGAAATTTAAACTGTCTTTTCTAAGAAGAAATTTAACAGGAAATACGTTTTATAAATGTGAAATGAATAAAATCANACATAGATAAATGACAAGCATTCAAAAATGCATTTAAAAAATAGTTCTTCATCTAAAAATGCATCTAAAAATGCATCTAAAAATTAGTAATTCACAACATATTCCATTAAAACTATTCTTATCTCATAATCTATTGAGACAAATTTTAGAAACTTTTAGGAAAATTCTACTAATACAAGGTGTGTACAAAGCATGGGTTACTATACACACTATGACAAATTCGTGACGACCATATCATATTTTAGAAATTCAAACTCAAATACTTAACAAAACAGAAATACATTTGTGATACAAATGAATCTAACAGAATCACGGAATGGGAGGGAACTTACTTAGTTCTTAGTTCGTCGTTCGTATCCCACAGTCGTCTGCTATCAATCTCGAGTTTTGCTCGTTCTCTCGCAGTGTCATCCAATAATTTCTTTGCATCGGCCAATTCATGCTCATACATCACCTTTATGTTGGTTACTTCCCGGGTGATAGTCTCCTTAGTAGTTTCAACTTCCCGCGACAATCTGGAATTCTCCGATTCCAAATGTCGCACTTTATCGATGTAACAGGCCAATCGGTCATTTAGATTCTGTAAATCTTGCTTTTCTTGAAGGCGAGAGTAACGGGTCGGGCTTAAAGGACTACCCGGCCTCTGACCGATCGGCGTTGACGTAAATTGTGGCGACTGTACGTTGGAACTCGCTGAGCTTATATTGCTCTTCTTTCCTGCTTTCGTTGACATTTTCTCACGTTGTTCGATTTCCTTTATTGCACAGCCACTAATCCCCACACTATCGAGTCATCAACTTGGTGCACGATAACACCGTGTCCGTGAAAGACGCTTAAAGCGATTTTGAAGAAACAACCAAAGCCCAATCTTCTTGCCTCAGTCAACGGAAGAACTGTTTAGCGGTGACGCCAACGCCAACGTTAACGAAGCAACCTCCTTACATATGTATGCATGTACATTCTTATATTGCGTTAGTGAACGTAAGAGTGCGCTCTGATAGGTCGCGTTTGAGTACACACGCGTGCCACTGACCAATTGCTCGCCCTTTTCTTCGAACCGAGTACCAATGAGAAATGGTTTATCAGTTGTAAAACTCAGCGGTGTCCAAAGTTGCCTCCCGACTCCCGGGAGATAAACGGTGTCCCCGTCCTTACCGCCATACTGCACGGAACGACTGTGGCGGTCCATAATGAATCCAGCAAATTGCCGGGCATAGTTCAAACCATAGTATTTAGATTAGTATTATTCTCTTTCTTCTGCAAATCTCTATACCATTCAGAGTTGGGCCAATTTTATTCGTAGAATTCATTCGAAATGTTATACGAATATAATTTTATTTGAATAACACGCAACTCAGATACTACTGCTAATAGTCTAAAGTTTTCGCAGATTTCTTTCAATTCTTATTATTTTCATATTACACAATACATATTTAGAACAATTAGGTACTTTGAATCTAACAGATCCATGTAATTAATATTCTGATAATCTAACTGAACAAATGGTCGATGATTTTCATTGTCGACTTTTTTCATTGTTTCACATTCTTTGAATCTGAATAGAGAGGTAAAGCATCGCATTACACGTGCTTTCATATTCAAAGTAAATATTACTGTTGCATGCAAGGAGACCTTTAATGACAAATGCCAGTATTATTCCTAGTTCAGTCACTTCCATGTTTTTTTAGCTTCTATGATGACAAAAATAATGTGAAATTTAAACTGTCTTTTCTAAGAAGAAATTTAACAGGAAATACGTTTTATAAATGTGAAATGAATAAAATCATCAGAAAGTCATTGGTAAAGTCGTTAGCGCTCATGACTCGCTTTCGTAATTTCGCGCGCAATTTTTACCACGAACGTATTACGGCTACGGAGAAACTTGCTATCGTATTTATGGCTGGTTCGACAAAAGGACGTTTGAAAGAGGAACTTGGTACATGAGGGGCCCCCACCGCGGATACCACATCACTGTTGTAAAGACTGCTTTCTCCAGAAATTCTACCGCGAAAAAACAACAGAAGGTCTCAATTTTCAATGGAAAGTTGAAAATTTTTATATGCACATATAATATTACACGCATATGTGTTTATCACAGCTTCTAGAAATTGTAACATGAAAACAAATGACGTGTACGCTCAGTTTATCAGTCAGCAATGATAACGTGTAATAATTTTTTATTCAGAGTTAAATAACAAAAACATAATTAGGCAAGAATACATTTGATTATCTTATTTATGAATAATTATATTTTTCTATTAGATTTCACCGATGCTTTCTATACTGACACATACATTTTTATCTGAAATTGTACGTATGTAATACATTATTTCATTTAAAATTGGTTGTACATATGCAGACCGGTATCAATTTGTCTACATACATTTTATTCTTTATGTAACTCAGCATTTTAATAGCTTAAAACTAAAAAACTACAATTATAGAAAAAATTAAACCTAATCAATTGTTTATTCATACTATGGATTTTAAAATAATGTAAATATTTGTTACAATTGATGTAAATATGATGTGTACATACAGTGACACCTACGTTTTTGTAAGCTCTTCGGCCGCAGCGCGCTCCGTTGACGACGATAGGAGTAGAAATTGCTTTTCTCTGATTGGTTGACGAATCAATACTAAGGCAGATTCACTGCGGATTAGATACACAGTAAAATGGTGGGGATACAAGCGCTTCTTTAGAGAGGGAGAAAATCATGCAGGAGTGGAGATATCACTGATGTAGTGAATGTGAATTATTGCGAATGTGTACTTATAGTTCCAACATGACCAGTAGAGGGCAATAGAATAGAAATTTAAAAAATGTCTTTAGCAGTAACCGTAGTCGTTAGTGATTAATGTTGCGAATACGTAAATATCATAGAAAACAAGTAATTCCTATTCAGTCTGACTAAATATAAAAGACAAATGTTGTTCCTCAATAAGAAAAAGTTGATTTGTAGTCTCTTCTTCGAAAAGAGCTAGTGTGGAAAGTTCTGTAATAGTATTGTTTGCAAATAACTGTACAGAATAATATGATATTCTATTACATTTTTACATTGTAATATTTAATTTATTTAAGAAAGTTTTAGTACTGTTACAGGAATTAAATATAAAAAATACCAATGCATAAAAAACTAATCACGTGCGATCTTATAGATTTAAATAGTCCTGATAGAAAGGGCTTTAGAGGTTGTAGACTTGCGTCGCCTTTGATACCTGTTCCCACAGATGCGGCAGAGAGTAATTGCAATAGTCATGTTGACAAAACAAGTTCTCTAGTGACTGTAAAACGTGATAGTTTAGAGAACAATCCTTTTGATATGGTGCTGCATAAAACAACAGAGTACATACAAAAAAAGGATGACCCATTTGAGGTGGTTTTGGAAAAGGCACTTAAATCAAAACATAAAAAAGGTGCATCATCTAGAACATGTTCTATTGACTTTACTGATGATTATATCCTAAAACGAAGAAAGAAATCTCAGAAATTAAAAATGAATAGGACATTGGATGAATCTTGGATTAACGAAGAACTGAGTCCAAAAAATATGCCTGACAACAAAATGTCTAATGTAGGTATAACATTTGGATCGAATAAATTTGACATACAAATTGATCATTTAAAACCTACAAATATATCTGCTGATTTATCAGTTTCAAAGAGTAAATGTGTTATACCTACTATACAAGTTCAAGATACTGATTTATCTATTTTAAATCAGTCCGTAATGAATGATACATTGTTTGAAATACAAAGTGATACATGTAATGACAATCAAGATAATATTTTAATGAATTTAAAAGAAGACGTATATACTATTGGTCATATTCAAACTGCTAGTACATTATTGCCAAAATTGCGACGTTCTTTTTCACAAGGAGAGAACATACTGCCAAAAAGGTCACAATGTTTAGATCGAATATCAGTGATAGAATCTGTCCAAACTGAATATGAAAACAAAAATAGCACATCATCTTCCCCTGATTTCTTAAATGAAGGTTTTTTGAAAAGTGGTAGTATTGGAAGTTCTATATTTACAAGTATATCAAGCATTTCTTCCATAGCTCAGTCGTCAAATTCTCCATCCATAATTAATACATCATTAATACTATCAAATGGTACCTTAAATAGAACATTTTTGGAGAGCTGTTCATCTGACAAATCAAATACAACAAAAATAAATTCTTCTAAGGAAGTCAGATCGACATCATTAACTACAAATGGTTTAATAAAACCAGTAACAAATATTTCAAACAAAACAAGGGCTTCTATATCTGATTTAACAGACCGACTTAATAAACTAAAAACGAAAGCTTCGGAATATCATGTGCCTGAAATTATTACAGACAAGGAGACTGAAACTATTTCTAGCCTTTCTAATGACATTAAGGAATCTGTAACTGTGATGGAAAATAATGAAAAATGTGATACAAATAACAAGTTAATAGATGTCGATCTATTTTCACCAGGATCAAATTGCAGTTCACACCAATGTAGAAATTCCATTTCAGATACATCATCTGATTCTGTGTTTCTTGTAAGTCTGCCTCTTGTAAGTCGTCTGCTCAAAAAATTAACTAAATCATAATTATTTGAAATGTGTTTATATTTTTAATTTATAGGATGAGGACAAGGTCAATAAATCAATACTTCATGAAGCAAAAATTCTTGCTAGAACTTTCGAAGAGATGGCTTTAAAGACGAGTTCAGGCTGTAAGTTTGTATTATTGCAATCAGTAGAAGTTGAAGATAATAATCGAAAAATCTGCAATACTTATTTTTATGTTTAGCAAGCACCGATGACTTGATTAGCAACAATCCATTATGGACATCTGAGTTACTTCCAGCATTTGATGATGAAGTTGATAATTTAATTGAACTGCCTACATCTCCTAATATAAATAATGTAAATTCGAGCCATGAAAAAGTTACACATTGTAAAGATAGCGTTTTACATGAAAACGCGAATGACAATGTGAAAGATTTAGAAAAGGAACTAATTGATCCGATATCTACCGAGAAACGTGTCACAGCGGCAACACTTTTATTGGATCTTAAAGAATTAATTAATACAGAAAATAATACTGAAGCAAATAAATTATTGGAAAATTTGGAGAGAGCTTTGGGTATTAGTTGGGAAAGTAATACTGAATTACTAAGTACTTATCTCAATTTAACTAACAATTTAGCAAAGAGTCCGCAAAAGTTAAATAACGATTTAGAAATGAAAAATGTAACAGAAACTACTATTGAACATAGTCTAGATACTAATGTTACTGGTGATTTGTCGGAAAATATTAAAGAATTAGGTACAAATCTAAATGGTAACGATTCAAGTCTTGATAAATTTTCAGTTAATAGTCAAAAATGTTTGAAAGAAATCGATAATGAATTAAATGACAGATCAAGAAATGACAACGAAAAAACAAAAATCGAAAATGAGAATGAAGATTCTAATGCCCAAAATACAAATACTGAAGGTACCACGCGCAGAGTGGAAAGCAATAATTCTGTAAATGAAAATGTGGTAATGGATCTTCTTACAAATATAGGAAAATTGTTAATTGGACAGCCTCAAGAATACGCTACTGTTAACTTCCTTAAAAAATTTGGAGATGTTCTACATTTGGTTTCCGGTAATATTAATGTAAATGAAAATATAAAAACGAATACCAATGATGTAGAAATTGTACAAATATCAAAAGGGTCTAAATTGAAGTATGAAAATAAAGCGAATTCTTCAGTTTTGTCTAAATCTGTCAATAGATTAAGTTTACAGATGGAATCAAAGGTACATATCTTACTATGAGGAAAAAGGTACAAACATAATACATCTAAATCGTTTGTTTAATTTTATAGAAACAGTCAACTGGCAAACCTTCACCGAAAAGGAGCACATCGATATCTCAAATTCTGCCAGTTAAGACAATACCAAGTCCGTTATTGTGTCAGAGGAAAAGTACAAATCAACTCAAAGATGTTGCAAAACGATTTTCCAGTGATCCTGGTTTTATTAGTCTAGTGACGAATCAAAAAGTTATCACAAACGATAATAAATTTAAATCGGTGCAGGGTAATATTAATCAATTTGCAAGATAAATGTAACGAAGTCATAATACAAAATTAATGAATTATTTATGGTTATTTTTAGACGTAGAAATAAAATCAGACACAAATCTTGAGAAAGAAAAGACTGCAGTGGTTGGAACAGTTAAAAGTAGGTTGAAAAAGAAAGTTGGTGGAGATGTCATAAACAAAAAAGGACCAATGAAAGCTACTCTTCCCATCGGAAATATGCAAAAAAAAGGTATATTGATAACAGTTATCACTTTTTAAAAGCAACGCTATTAGATTTCTTAAAATGAGTTTTTTGTTTGATAGAATCCTTCAATAAAAACATGAACTCCACCACTGATACCACACCTCCTAATGCTCATAAAATAATTAGTAGTACTCCTAACCCTACGGTTACTAGAAACATAGTAAAAAAACCTACACGGCCTTTGAAACCTGTAGCTTCGTCGACGCCGGATGCGCAAAATTCAAAAACACGAAGACTACCATCGCATACAAGTAACAATACAAATAAGCGCAACAGTACATGTGATGTTTCGCCTGTAACTACACGGCTTAATGTTAGTAATAGTGATGGTGTTAATAGTAGTCCAAAAAGGTATGACCAATATATTTACATTTATATTTTTACATAAGAGTTATAACAGTGATTTATTTATTTAAGGACTGGCAAGATACCATCATCAAGGAATACAACTCCTAAACGCCGTTCAGTGGATTCTAGCATTCCAAGATCTCAAACTCCTCCAGTCAATAAAAAATTAAATTCGTCGCTCAATGTTAGTCATCACGAGCGATTGATCGAATCACCACAGCGTTCATCGTATAAAGTATCAAATTCGCAAAAAAATTCACCGATATCCTTAAGAAGGAATGGTAATAATACACAACAAAGTCCTCTGAGAGACAATAATAAACTCGCACATAAAGTGAAGCCAGTAAACTTGGTATATATTATATCTCATTGCGATAACACAAAGCAGTTAAAATGTGTGAATGTGTGTAATTAATATAAATTTATTTCTCAACAGATCTCAAAAATTCGACGACACAGTGTTGGTAATAATGTAATGGAAAAAGAAAACGCCTATATTTAAATTCTGAAGAAAGTGATCTCATTATTAACGATGGTTATATAATTGAACTTTTAGCGTGAGCATTTTTTACTTTTATAACTTTTGTACTTATGTATTATTTTACAATAAAATATTTGTTTCAAGTATAAAGCGACTATTATTAACTTTTTAATACGCTATTGTGAAGACACTTATATTCTTCCTTTTCCATTATGTTATAGAATAAATATATTAATTTATCAGACTACTGATCATGTGTATCAATTTCCTTGTTAAATACATGTAAAGATTTTGGTCGGCTACTATCGAAAAACATAAACTTATATATTAAAAATGAGAGCGTTTTTTAAACAATCGACTCGAAAGAAAAGGTATTTAAACATACCACGTGCCACACGTAATTTAAGATTTGCTTGCGATCTGTTGCGTCAGATCCGTCTATCTGAAAACAGGCTCAAAAGGGAGCTACGCTACTCGGCCGGGAACGAGGACACCAGCGCTCGGGAATGGCCGATACGTCACGGTCGTTTCTGGAAACACAGAAACAGTAACGTATCACGCGCTAAATCATTGACAAATTTTCTTCACGCTTTTCCTTTTCATTTCGAGCGGCAACAAAATACATTTCGTTTGGCATCCCATGGTACATGAAATCTTAATACAATTATTTGCTTTTATGGTACTACAACGAACATCCGAAGTCCGCAAAAGATATTCAATTTCAAATAGGAACAGTACAAAATCTTCCGAAAGAAATGAGAATCAATACTCCGTAGAGAAAAGTGTAGTTTCCCTCGTTTTGTACAAGTGAACGTTAAAATGCTCCGAGAACATAATTCCATGGGAACCGTTCGCTAGGAAAGGAATAAGATTGTTACAAGAGGGAAACGATTAAGATTAAGTCGATGAAAGCGATGCGCAGAAGCCGGTTCCTTGCAGGGTGCTGGCGCAGGTATCGCCGCACCTGCACGGACCCGTCCCCGCAAAAAGTGCGCTCCGCGTGCTCCGTACTCCAGCGGCGGTCCGTCCACACTCGCGTGTAGCCGCACCCGGCTTGGCGCTCCCTGGTTTTCGCGAAATAATTCGCAGCTGCAGCCTCGAGGAAGGCTGATCGTCGGTGTAAACGATTCTTTGTGAATCGCCGGAGGTGACAGTATTAGTGAGGTGAAGTGCGCCACGATTTGTACGGAGTTCGATCTTTTTGGGCGTTCTGTAGGAAGGAGAGCTGGCGCGGCGCGCACGAGAGGCCGCCTCTAGAAAAAGAGCGCGTCTCGCGCGTTGCGCTACATTGGAGTACGCGATGCTCGGGAAAGTATATCAGCAAACGCAACGAATTCGAAAGGAAAACGTAATCACGCTGAAAACGATAATGATCGAATAAAGGTGCGTCAAAGTTTTACAAGTCGCGGATCACCGAGAAATTTTGGCCGGTCGAACCGGGAACAAGAGAGAGAGAGGGAGGAAGAAAGAAAGAGCGAGGAGGCTGGCGCGCGGCGAGGCCACCTCGGTAAAAGACCGCGTCTTGCGGGTACGGTGGTGTGCTGCGGTGCCTATTGTGCGATACAGTCGTTGAAGCTTATCGACATTCGTGGAATCATTATATATATCTTCGTAACGTATGGTAAACGATAGATCGACGAAAGATTTATCGAACAAGTCAGTGCACAGTGTCAACGCGTTACCCGCGGACCTATACGGGAAACCCAACCGGCGGCGATATATCCCGCGTGGTACGTATACGCACGCAGGCATACGCACGTAAGCACCGACACGTACGTGTGGCATGCACATTCGCAAAGCGCTGTGGACTCGTGGAATCGTCGTTTAGTCGCGTGTATCGAAGTGGCCTGTCGCGAAGCGCGCTTAACAGAGATCCAACACCGTGGAAAACGTGCCTGTCGAACGCACGCCGAAAGAGAAAGAGAGGGAGGGAGGAAGATAGAGAGAGTGCGAAAGAGAAAGATCGGTGCAGGAGGAGAGGTATCCGTCGTTCGACGATTGGCGCGTGGCGTAGACATTCGACGGTCACTTGGCACGTATGTAGTGCAATTATTCCCCGGTTATCCCGTTTCGTCCCCGTGAAGCAGACATTATTTATGGGTGCATGGATCGGTGCATTTTCACGAGCGAAACAAAAGACGTGGAACGGAACCAGAACGCCACCAGCACGAACACGGTCCCCTTTGTTCGGCACAGCGATACCTCGATAACGATTTGTTCGAATTTTAAAATCGTGCCTTACGATTATACCGGAAGGAAGTTACGTACGCGGCTAGTAAAGTACACCGACATCGAAAGTGCGTGCAAAGGGTGTGAAATGCGTCGCGCTGCAGTTCGATGTTCGATCCAGCAGCGGCGGCCGACCTGACTTTGTCAGATTGCCTCTCGACGTCGTCGCCGATGCCGCCGCCGTCATCGTCATCGTTGTGCACCTCTCGGCTTCAGTCCAACAATGGATCAGCGCAGCTGCGGTACGCGATTCGAAATCCTCCCGGTAGCGGAACAAACGGATACAAAGTGATTCATTCGTTTGCTTGCGTTTTCGAGCTGCATTTAAATCGTCTTGCTCTTGGTGATTAAAGTTAACCGTCGTGCCGACATTTCGCGCGTTCTATATGCGCCATAGATTTCGCACATTATTGACTTCGTCGATCCGTGCAATCGATAATATTGCATCACGTTAACGAGCACCTCCGGTTGTGTTGCTTTGCAGTCAACAGGCGAACGCGTTCATTGAATTAAGAACGAAATAAATCGTCCGCATACAGTTGTAGTTCAAGACGTATACGCTTTATTATAAGACGTCGCTCGAATTTGTTTATGTATAAGCGCGATTCTGCGCTTGATATGAAACGGTCCCGGGTTGCGTCCTACTGCAAGAATGATCGACCATTTATTCTCCGCACTGTTCCAAATGCAGCGGGAAGCTTTCGATGTTTGAGTGATCGAATAATCGATTGAAAAGTACATGTTTTTAAGTAAGATTATACAAAAAGAAAGAAAGAAATTTGATAAATTAAACGAAGCGTAACGAAGGGTAATACACCTGAAGCTGATACGCGGAGGAAAATATAGAAACTTGTCGGTCGTTATGATATCGCGCGCGAATGATACAAACACCATAAAAACGCGCAGGAAGCATTGTAAGAATCATTTCTACGTTACTATCGAACATTAGTAACATTACGCAAACATATATCTGAAAATATCGCATTATAGCGTGAAACGATTTATTGGCGTATAACAATGCAGCAACACCGGGTCGAAACACAAATACTCCACGAGGAGCAGATCCTGGAGGCGATAGATCAGTTGCGTCGCCGTAAAGCGCGACCCGACGCTGACCGCATCTGCAATTATTTATTGCGGAAATTCTCCGTAGATGCACGGGACACGATAGCCGATCTTCATAGATTAATCGAAGCGGAGAAGGTGATCCAGGTGGATTACAAGGGTAACACCAGTTACCGAAATGCTTCGAAATGGTCACGATTGCAGCTTTACAAAAATCGACCGGAGGGTTTCGTGAAGGAGAAGTTGAACTCTTTGATGGTGGCGGGCGCCGTAGCCGAGCTCGTTGTAGAAGAGCCGGATTATCTCGATCAGGGTGTACCAGCATATAGGTTGGTCGAGCAGCTGCTCGATGGTGTCTCGAATCCTACCTCTCGGCGTATGGTTGAGGATTTCCTTGGGAAAGAAGTGGCTAGTGGAAATTTGACGCGTCTCTCAAACGGTAATTATTCGCTGGTGGAGACGTCTGAAATGACGTCTGTCGAACCAACGCATCGAGAATCTTTTACCCTCGAGAATGGAAACGCACGACGTAAAGAATTGCACACGGTTTCCTCGACGACGGGTGGCCTGTACGATTTCGACGAGACAGAAAACTTGACAATTACGGACTCTAGATCAAATACGCCGAGATCCTCGCGTCAAGTTAGCCCGAAGCCTGATCCACAGATCAAGAAGGAAGAATGTTTTGAAATAATTGTTGGCAGGAATGAAAACACCGAATCGTCAGTGGAACATGACTCTTTGAAAGAACAGGTATCGCTGGAACCTTCGCAAACATCTGCCGAGGATGGAAAAGAAGAGTCGAAAACCACAGACAGTCTGTCACATAACCTCAAAAGATCGTCGAAGTCTGAGCGTAAACAGCGCCTACTCGTTCGAACAGATGATCCTATGGACATAGAGATCAAGTTTGAGGATTATCGGAAAGACAATAAAGAGGACACGAATTCACAGAAAGAAAAAAGAGATGAGAGCGGACACCTTAGCGAGGAACGAGAAGACGACGATGCGGGAAGAAGTTCTACTAATCCCTCCCCTACACCGTCGAGTGTTAACGTTGGTGGTTTTCGTAGTGCTCGCAGAAAGGTATACCTTATTTAGTGTAACCAATTTATTTTATAAGTGTAGCCGATATCAATTAGTGCATTGTTTAAGTTGATAAATAGTACTTAAACACAACTAAATATGTGTTGTAGAGAGCAAAAAAAGTATTTGATCCTTCTGACAATAATCTTGTGAAACGGAAACGTGGAAGACAGCCAGGTTCACAAAATAAAACTACTTTATCTCAAGAAACTCAAGACACTACTAAAGTAACTGTCAAAGACGGCCCTTGTAGGCAATGTAGTCTCTGTGCCAAAGAAAAGCAAGAAAGTTTGGTTGCTTGTCGAGATTGTACAGTTAGAGGTAATTATTATATTACAAATCTATCAGTAATTTTTTACATTTCATATGCTATATTAAAATCAAATTTTCTTACAGCACATCCAAGTTGTATATATAGCCCAGAAGAAATGCTTCAAAAGGTGGGTAGTAATTGGCAGTGTGAGCGCTGTAAAAGTTGTACAATATGTTGTGAAACTTCAGATGCGGTAAGTTAATATTAAGGATAATAATGTTCCTTTCTATTTTAATATGTTATGATTTATTTTATTTCTTCAGGGTCCACTTGCAACATGTTTTACATGCGATGAAGCTTATCATTATTATTGTCATACTCCACGGATAATAATACCAAAATCGAATTCAAAGTGGCAGTGCAATGACTGTGTTCAGAAGCAATATAAACCAAGTATAAACCAGAATATTAGTCTGGTTACGAGTAGACCTGATACACCATCGAATCCTGTTTTACCTCCAGTTTTAAGTCCTCAAGTTTCTCCTGCCAGAGGGTCTTCTGATCAAATGGAGGATGATGGTCCAAGAGATGGAATTGATCCAAATATACCTGATGCTTCAGATTGGACATCTGAACAAGTGTACCAGTATTTTGCAAGACTTTTTCCAAAGGAAGCTGAAGTGTTCAGACAACAGGTAATTTTGTTTATTTGTTTTTTTTTTTATTAATATCTTGTTTATTTTTAATATTTTCATTGATCATCATTCTTTTATTTATGTGTTTCAGGATATTGACGGCCACTCTTTATTATTGATGAAACGATCAGACGTTTTGAGTGGGCTAGATCTACTTTTAGGTCCAGCATTGAAAATATATAGACATGTATTGAAATTGCAAGTGAGAAGAGATGATCCAAAACTTTATTGGCTGTAAATGCTTTAATAACTTAAGTAGTTAGGATAACATTTAAAGAAGGTTGATTACTTATTGTACTGTACAGATAAATTCTTTTTACATTTAAGGATTGTGAATATTTTTTTTATTCGAGATACTTTTTCATATTGTACATATTGCAGTTATCTTGAATTAAAAAAATAATTCTTTATTATAAAAACAATAAGATAAAGTAATTACAAAAGTGAACAATGTTGTTTGTTTTCTGTCCAAATACTTTTGTATTGGATAGTTCGTATAACTTACCGTTTAA